GACTCAGAGAGAGAGAGAGGGGGGCTGGAGACTGGCCGGATTGTACGCATGCATGTCGTCGCAGCCGGTGCTGGTCAGTACCAGATCCGGATGGGATGGGGTGTGAGCAGAGCGGGCAGCTCGCAGACTGGCTCGCAGTACGTACGTCCGCGTGCATGCATGCATATGCATGCGACGCAGAGCTGGCTGCCGCCCGGCTGCTGCGTGCATGGCCAGAGCGAGAGGAGAGGAGAGGGCCCGGACGGATCGGATCCTGCGCAAGGACGGCAATGGCCGGCAAGGATCTCGGCGAGGGGCCGAGATCGAGCTAGCTGCCATGCATGCACATTTTTGGTAATGCTGTACACTTGTTTGTATGTTTGCATCTCCAGAAACGTGACCGAGTCGCTGATCATGCATGCATGAACGACAGGTTACATTTATACCATGCATGCTAAGCTTGTCTTGTACCCTTTTTTCTGGAAGTAGGGTCATTGCATCCTCGGATGTATGCAAGGCAATCAAAGCTTTGAGTGCACATATTATATACTTCCTCCATTTCTGAATATAGGGTGTATAGTTTTTGGCACGAAAATTAAAGAACGCACGTGCAGGAAAAATTTCATAAGTTTTGGGCGAGATTACACCTGACTAATTGACATGAGAAAATAAAGGAGCTTGCCTCATATAAGAAACTATAATCAAATCCCTAAAAAAATTGTCCAAATGAGTGGTGCGGTGCAATACACCTTATATTTCGGGTTTTTTCTCCAAAATCTATACACCTTATATCAAGGAACGGAGGGAGTATATTTTTTGCGCTGTGTCACTTCGTAGACTGCTGGAGGCTGCAGCCGAGTAAATTGTACAGAAGTACCACAATTGGGGCATTGGAAACAGATTGGTACCAAGTTTGGTAATTTTTACATGTCAGTACCAAGTCTGGGGCTAGCCGTTACAAAAAGGTCTAAATCGTGTATAAACGCGTATTGACGGTGTATCTGACCGGCGGGGCCCGCCTGTCAGCTGCTGATGTGGCAATTTTTTTGCAGAAACCCCCCTGCACCTCCTTCATCCTCAAGCGCGGCGGCGCCCGATCTGGATCGAGGGGAGGAGCCCCTCGAGCCCGAGCTCCTTCGCCTCCCGTAACCCCCGCCCTGCCCCGGCCTCCTCCTCGGCTTGCCGCCGGTCGGCCACCGGAGCACCACCACCGACGACCTGGACCAGGCCGTCCCCGCACCCTGCCTCTCTTCTTCTCTTCCTCCTTCCATTATTTCTTCTATCTCTCACCCAGAGCTCTCTCTCTCTCTCTTGCCCACTCCCCTTGGACAGGAGCCCGATGCCAAGCCACCATGGATGGCCTCCCGTAGCTCCTGCCCGACGCGCCGATACGCGCTGGAGAGCCTCGGATCCGTCTATCCCCTTTGTCCCTCGACGCCGGAGCCCCTGCCCCGCGTCGCCTCTTTCCCGTTAACCACGATGCCCCAGCGCGCCCGCGCCCCCGCGGGGCTCCTGCTGGAGAAGCTCGGCTGGGGAGCTGCACCGGGTTGCCGCCGGCAAGCTGCGCTGAACCCGCGTCGCTTCGCGTCCCCTCGTCCCAGCCGGAAGCATGCCGCCGTAGGAAGCCGCACTCGCGCCGCCGCTCAACCTCTACCGAAGGAGTCCGGTAGGGGAGTTGCGTCGAGTCACTACCGGCGAGCCGGGCCGAGCCAGCGCCACCGCAGGGCTCCCGCCGAAGGAGCTTGTCGGGGCCGCGCCGAACCGCTATCGGCGAGCTGGCGCCGCCTGGGCCCGCTTCGCTGGGCATAGGACTGGCTAGTATTCTGCGGCCGGGGGCTGTTTCTGCAAAAAATGTCACGTCGGAAGCTGACAAGTGGGCCCCGCCGGTCAGATACACCGTCAATACGCGTTTATACACGATTTAGACCTTTTTGTAACGGCTAGCCCCAGACTTGGTACTGACATGTAAAAATTATCAAACTTGATACCAATCTGCTTCCAATGCCCCAATTGTGATACTTCTGTGCAATTAACTCGCTGCAGCTTAATGAGTTGAATTAGTCCGCGACACGACCTTTGAAACAGTGAGGAGAGAGCACGTCTGATCTCTTTGTACCGACGTTGATGTTTGGAAACCATCTGCAGTGCCCAAGACCTCATCATATCACTCCACGAGTTATTGAGTTTGGCTTTGAGGCAACGTACGTACTGCCTAGCTAGCCAGTGTACGACAAGTGATGGACGCCGGGCCGGCCCCGGCCATTGATGAGGCCCACGTGTACGTGTTGGACACCTGCCGTCCAGCGAAAGGTCGTCGGAGCTGTGGGGGGCTGGTTTCCCGCCGGGGCATCACATGCTCGCTACGCTGCCTGCTTCCATCCAACTTTCGGGTCATTTCCGGGGTCCTACGCTGAGCCAAGAGAAAGACTTTGTTGGCGCCTCTCCCTTTGTCGTTCCATGGATGGATGCCTCCACGGCAACAAACTCTGTGGACTGTGGCCATGAATGCATGCAGGCGTACGGCCTCAACTCCTGAAAACAGCTTGCATGCAAGAAGCAGGCACGTGCATGTTTGTGCCTAGGCCTTGCTAGTTTAAATCTCATGCTCCGTTTGAAATCGTGGAGCCTTTTCAAAATCGCTTGTAAGCCTGTCCACCCACTTCCCAAACTGTGACAACCTGGCATACCTATTTCTGTCTTCCAACCAGCTAACTATTTTCTCATTAATTGCTCAACAACAACAAAAAAACAATTCTTACAAGTACTACTCGCT